TATAAATGGTATTGTTAACAGTGATTTTTTTTCTCTAATTAAAAAAAAAACAGTGATAGTATTTCTGAAAAACTTCTTACCAGGGAAGCTCAGTCAATCCTCCTTGTCTAGCAATGGCAGACTTAACCCTATTAGCAAACTGGACGGCATCTTCTTCTTCCTGGTTTAAAAAAATAAAAAATACGTGTACATCCTGAGTATAGCGTTTTTAATACCTTAAAACGTCTTATAATCATTTACATTTGTTTTAAATTATAAGATTCACATTTCAGCTCAAATACTTTGTACTCCTAGTCAATCAAAGCAAATCTCATTTGTTGTAATAAGAAAATGCACTGCTGTATTTAACTATATTAATTTTTTTATTTCCTTTTTATTTTATTTTGTATATATTTTTGTTTGTCTCATATGCTACGGCAGAATGTATTTAATTTTTTATCACAAGCACGTATTTATTACACTCTTTATTCGTCTTATCCAAGAAACAACATTATATCATATCTACGGGTTCAATAAACCAACAGAGATTGTAAAACTCTTAGGGAAAACAGTCTCTGGATGGAAAATGGCCTGACTGGAAGAGAGCTAATCAGAGTATTAAAAACTGACTCATTGGGCTGAGAAAGCAAACAGGCACGATGACGGAGAAGGGAGACACCCAGGGTTTCAGGCAAAGGTTTCGTTGCCTCTGCTTGATTAGATAAAGTGCCCAGACCGCCCGGCTGCTATCTAAGGCGCACCTCTCTGGTCATGGGGGGCATGTACCACACGTCGCACACAATGGCCCAGCTGGTCATCATTCGGAGCAGGTAGCTCACCATGTTGTATTTGCTGCTGTTCCAAAAGGCGTCTCCAAACTGGGGGTTATACTGGGAACAAAGAACACAACACACATCCTACCGTGTTTCCCCGAAAATAAGACAGGGTCTTGTATTTATTCTTTCTCAAGAAGACACCCTAGGGCCTATTTTCGGGGAGACACGGTAGTTTAGAGCTAAGCGGTGGCTTCTCATCCGTGTCAATGTTTTTAGGGCGGCAGGCCAAGTATCTTTATCAGACTCTAAGAAAAAGAGAAGCCGTTTTGCTTAATAGCATGGATGCAAAAAAACGCAAACGACACCAGCTAACTCCGACTGCTTTCCTATCTAGAGGCCCAGAGCATGGCAGCAAGAGTGATTTCCGCGACTGTTAAATATCCGTCCCCACACTTCGCTGGGAGGTCCGTGAACACAGTACCCATCTTGCTTAGTCACTGCGTCCTCAGTACTTAGCACGACACCTGCACACAGCCGCCCCCGCCCGCAGCTGTCTACAGACCAGCAGAGAGAGAGGACGAGAGCTCACATGGGGCAAAATGCAGACAAATGGTGAATCTGAGCATAAAGAGTATACAAAGGGCTCCTCATTCTTGCAAATTTTAAGTTGGAACTCATATTGAAAGAGAAGTTACCCGTCCAATGCCTTTTTTGGTTTTGTTTTCTTTTGTTGGCATCTGTTTTACCTTAATTGCAACCGGGTGTATGGTTCCTCCGATTTCAAAGCTCCCCTTTTTAAACATCATGACGGACGTGTTGTTGATACAGGTCCCTGCGGGCAGGTGGGGGTGGGGCAGTGGATATTTTTTTAAAAGCAATCGTTTTCTTAAAATAAATTTTAAAAGTAATTATTTTGATATAAAATGATACAGAATATCAAAGTTACAGACATTACAATACCATTTCACACATCAAATCCCTGCTTACGTAGTAATCTAACAGTTCTAAACAAGCTTAACAACAAAGTTTTCCTTTTCATCAAACACTCTGTGAGTACAAGTGACAATTTCAATACATTTAAAATAGGATCCTGGCCAGATACCGAGGCTCACGCCTGTAATCCTAGCACTCTGGGAGGCCGAGGTGGGAGGATCGCTCGAGGTCAGGAGTGCAAGACCAGCCTGAGCAAGAGCGAGACCGCATCTCTACTAAAAAAAAAAAAATAAATAAGAAAAAAATTAGCTGGACAACTAAAAATATATAGAAAAAATGAGCCGGGCATGGTGGCGCATGCCTTTAGTCCTGGCTACTTGGGAGGCTGAGGCAGGAGGATCGCTTGAGCCCAGGAGTTGGAGGTTGCTGTGAGCGAGGCTGACGACATGGCACTCTAGCCCGGGCAACAGAGTGAGACTGTGTCTCAAAATAAAATAAAATAAAATAAAATAAATAAATAAATCAGGATCCTTAAAAAGTCATGGACAATCATGTCCCTGAGTTCATGACCCAGAAATGACTTTTGAAGTCAGTAAGGTAGCATGACTTCCATCAAATCGCAAAAGAAAGCAGGGAATTAATAGCTCAGAGAAGGCCGTCCCATTTCTGGAGGACAGCAGAGATTTGGACTGAAAATGCCAATTCTAGAACAATTTTATTCATCATACGCTTCTGGTGGTTTGCTGTTACCAACCACAGCTTGGTAGCGGTGCCCGGCCTTACCTTCGGGAAAGATTAATATGGGCAATTTCTTCTTATCCGCGATATGTTCTTTTAGTCTGCGAAGAAAAATAAAGGATCAAAATTCTACCTTTAAAAAGAGGTAGGTGGAAGTCCTTTTCAATATTCTTTGTGTTTTCCTAGCACAAATATAATTTTAAAGCAATAAGGAGAAAATTATAAATAAGATATAAATAGAGGAAACAAACTCAAGTTGTTCCCTTTCTAAAAAAGTATGAGGAGATCTGCACAGTTTCAATGTCTAATTTCAAAGTGAGTGGCTGCTGCCTGCTCTTAAGAAAAGACTACTAGGCCGGGCGCGGTGGCTCACGCCTGTCATCCTAGCAAACTCTGGGAGGCCAAGGCGGGAGGATCGCTCAAGGTCCGGAGTTCGAGACAAGCCTGAGCAAAATCGAGACCCGTGTCTACTAAAAATAGAAAGAAAGTAATTGGACAACTAAAAGTATATGTAAAATAAATTAGCCAGGCGTGGTGGCGCATGCCTGCAGTCCCAGCTACTCGGGAGGCAGAGGCAGGAGGATTGCTTGAGCTCAGGAGTTGGAGGTTGCTGTGAGCGAGGCTGACTCCATGGCACTCACTCTAGCCTGGGCAACACAGTGAGACTCTGTGTCTCAAAAATAAATAAATAAATAAGACCTCGGGCAAAAAAGCTGGGCTCGATTTTCCAGCAATTTTCCTGGTAGCTCAGCTCAGCCTCCAAGCCCGGAGGCTCCTTCTTTCACCGCTCTTTCCCTAGCTGGATCCAACTGATGATGGCCATCCAACAACACAGCACCAACCATCTGTTTGTTTAGCAAACGGTTATCAACGATTTAACCTCCAAGGGGATAATCTTTAACCTTGAAATGTCAGAGACTGCACCATACCTAAGGCACAGCAATTACCTGCTTTCCCAGAAAATAAGCCCTCCCCATACAATAAGTCCCAGCAGGATGTCTGAGCATGTGCACAACAGAAGCCCTACCCCATTCTAGAGCTACTAAAAATTATAACAAAAAAAAAAGTAGAAAAAAAAAAAAAAGAGGCCCTACCCTGAAAATCAGCCCTAGTGATGGGCGTGGCTATGAAAATCACCCCTGGTGGTGGGCGTGGCTATGAAAATCAGTCCTAGTGATAGGTGTGGCTATGAAATCAGCCTAGTATGGCGTGGTAGATCAGCTAGGGTGGGTGTGGCTGCGCAGCGCATCTGCACAACCATGCGTGTCGTCGCCGGAGTGGGAAAGACAGCAGCCCTTCTCATCCGCCCCGTGAGAGCTCTAGTGCTCGACAGGAGAGATCGGGGCCAACAGCTCTAAAGGAAATAGAGTCACAAGACATTCAGGATGGGATTTGGGGTTTGGAGAGTGAGGATGACTTCATTGTGTTTGAATCAATGTAGATGGTTGTACCATACTTAAAAAAAAAACAAACCACATCCCCAGAAAATAAGCCCTAGAGTGTCTTCTTGAGGAAAAATAAATATAAGATCCTGTCTTATTTTGGGGGAAACATGGTAGACATACATGCCTTTTAATCCCATCACAAATTCCTCTATCACTACAGAATTAAAATTTTTTAAAATCCAGCTGAGGCCGGGCGCGGTGGCTCACACCTGTCATCCTAGCACTCTGGGGGGCTGAGGCAGGAGGATCGCTCAAGGTCAGGAGCTTGAGATAATCCCTGAGCAAGAGCGAGACCCTGCCTCTACTAAAAATAGAAAGAAATGAGCTGGGCATGGTGGCGCATGCCTGTAGTCCCAGCTCCTTGGGAGGCTGAGGCAGGAGGATGGCTTGACCCAGGAGTTTGAGGTTGCGGCGAAGCTATGATGCACCACTGCACTCCGGCCTGTCCTCCAACAAAAAGATTTACCAGCTTTTGTGCTACCCCAGTGAACACTGAGTAACCTCACTGCTTACCTCTTAGTAACCAGGTGTCGATCCTTCATTTCTGAGCGTCAAACCAGACATGTGGACAAGCCTTGACCATAGCTCTCTGAATAATTCCCATCAACCCACCGTGAACCTGGCCAACCTAGAAGTACCATGACAGAAAGAGAAAAATATAAAGGCACAGTTATCCAAAGACAGATTTTTTTTTTTTAAGTACCAATAGATTTCTATTCCCCACAGGAATCAGATTTGGCCTTCTTTGTTCTTAGCCTGCTCAAAGGACTTGAACGACCAAATGTAAACAAAAGGTACTCTTTAGCCGCACCTTTCAATTTCAAGTTGCATTGCTGCATTAGCTAGCCTCTACCTTTAATAAGTAGGGGTCCTTCACCTTAGTCAAGATTAGAGAAATACAAATTATAACTACACTTTTTTTTTTGTACAGAGTTCACTCTGTTGCCGGGCTTGAGTGCCATGGCATCAGCCTCGCTCATAGCAAACCTCAAATTGCTGGGCTCAAGCGATCTCCTGCCTCAGCCGAGCAGCTGGACTATAGACATGTGCCCCATTGCCCGCTAATTTTTCTGTAATTTTTAGTTGGCCAACTAATTTCTTTCTAACTTTTAGTAGAGACGGGGTCACTCTTGCTCAGGCTGGTCCTTGACTCCTGACCTTGAGCAATCTCCCGGCCTCTCGCTCAGCTTCTAGGCGTGAGAGTAGTGCAGCTAACTTAATGCCTTTTCAAACCCATCCCATTGGCAAAGGTGGCTAAAGCTTCCTTAGGTTCAGAAAGAACTCTATTACTTAGAGAGGTTTCATAACGTGTTAAAATAAAGTTGTCCAGGAGTTATGCATCTGAGATCTGTAATTTTTTTTTTTTATGATAGTATGAAACACATGGCAATAAGTGGAAATTTTTACAGAGGGCTTCAATAACCCCTCAAGGACCGTACAACCCACAAATAGTCAAACACCTGCCCATGGGCCAGCTGTCCCCACCCCCCTCCTCGAAGCAGGGACTCCCCTCAAACGCCTTCCCAGAAAAACACACCAGAGCACACCGTGACTATCAATCCCTGGAGCTGGTAAGGGAGATAAAAGCCACCTGCTGTCCCTGAATCCCAACCCGCCACCACGGGACTATGAGAAGAACATTCCCCTGGGACCCTTGGCCAGTCATTCTGCTCCACACACTAACTCGGAGTATATTTAATCATCCTGCATCTTCTGTCATTTTGCAGAATTTACCTGACATACATAAAGGTGAGGTAGGAAATGTTGACAAATTTGTAAGGCACAGAAACAATATTTGCCTCTTGCTAGAGCCCATTAAGAGCTACATTTTTTTTTTTAATTTGCAACATAAATTGGCCCCCCTGGGGAAGGGAACAGAAGGACCCTTAAATGCTGCTAGGGATTTGTACAACTCCCAGGAGTAAGAATGTAACGTTGCAAAACATTATTAAACACTGCCAGGGATTTTACAAGAAGAATGGAATGAATCGACTTCACAAAGTCCTGTCAACCTCAAGTACGTCCTCTCCTCATTTCAGCAAGTTAATTTTTTACTACTTTAAATATAATGGCGATTTTCTTTCCTTTCCTTGCACTATGTATTTCTCATGTAAATATATTACATAACTTATATGGCTACAACATATAATATATGCAATAAAAATATATATATTTACATGGCTTTCGTATAACCCAGTCAAATTTCTAATGTAACATCAGCTTTCCAATTTGTGCCAAAATAAATTAAAAGTTTGAGCAATGCATAAAACATGCAGCCACCTGCGGTATCAGCGAGCTGCTCTTACCATTGCGTAGCATCCGTCTGTTGTCAAGATTAACACGTCTATTGGGGAGGTGTGGTTGGCGACACAAATGCCTCCCTTCTGGGGTCTGTACTGCCTGCAATCAACGACAAACAACGGCAAACGCTAGACCTTGAAAAGTAGCCACTATTTTGCAGAACAGCATAAAGAGACTCATCTTGTTTTTTTAAGCATATTTTTAAAAATACAGTTCGGTGGTACGTGGGCCCATCTTTAAAAGGTTATCTCTAGGCCGGGCGCGGTGGCTCACGCCTGCGATCCCAGCACTCTGGGAGGCTGAGGCGGGAGGATCGCTCGAGGTCGGGAGATCGAGACCAGCCTGAGCAAGAGCGAGACACTCTGCCGCTTATTCTGTACCTGATCCCAAACCACCAACCCCAGAGCTCCGCTCCGTCCCCTGTACCATGAGAGAGCAGTGTCTGTCACTCAGGGATGACCTCTCAGAAGCACAGGGTAGATAGATGCTCAATTATTAAGCACCACTGCATGCTTCCGGTGACATTCCTTCAGCAAACAGAGCTCTTTTGATTCAGTGATTTCTTTGGTGCATTTTAAGACATGCCGAGCAGTAGGACGAACCCTGGGAAACACTCGGAGTCCACCTGCTTCCTCCCACTCGCTCCCCACGACACTCTCCCATCCCCACCGGGTGTCCCTAGGGACAGGCGGGCAGGGGGCGGCGGACGCTCACTTGTTATGGTAACGGATGGTCCCAGACAGGGCTCGCACGCAGATCCGGCAGCAGGTCAGGTGGACCAGCTCGCTCAGCCTGGTTTTGAGGCTGGAGGAAAAAGAAAGCACGTTACCGTGCGGTTCCGAGCAGTCCTAAGAGACA